ACTTCAGACACCAACACTTGAGCGAACCTCGACATGTTGTGTCCCATGATTGCCGCATGGGTTTCCGCGGCGAAGGATGACTCAACAATTCGACGATTCGTGGCACTCCTCCAGTCGATGACATTGATATGGACTCGACCCTCTTGCTCCAACTCTCCCCTCTTGACGAAACCGACAACGGCACCTTTCTGAGAGTAGACGAGTTTCTTATCAAGAGTGCTTTGCAGAATGTCATCACACTGCTTCTCATCGATCTCGGCCCCTACACTGCTGTAAAGCCCCGCATCGTGATACGTGACGAGCTGAGCATCTGGCCCAAGTGGTCTGAAAAGGATCTCCATTCGATTCCTAACTACCTCTCGAACCGCTCTGTTAGCTCTCAGCAAGTCAGCGACGCGAAGATCCGAAACCCTCTTCTGCAGTTGATTGCACTCAAAAGCAATGTCGGGCCTAGATTGAACCGCAAGCCACTGAAGACTTCCAACGATCGACCGATAGTCTGTGAGCTCCTCTTGATTAGCTCTGGCATCCAACTGCTTTGCCCTTGAGGACTCAATCCTCATGGGCTGCAAACGACCGTCGATGAAAGCATTCTGGGCAAGCGTGACACATGTCTCGCTGTCCTTGGTCATGACCTTAACCTCTTTCCCACAGTAGGTAACCCCGCCTTGTTGTTCGCGGACCTGCAACCAAGTACCGAAAGGGAAGCGCTTGGTCAAGCTCTCCTCGACTCGCTTACCCAGCTCACCACCGTCATGACAATACATGACATCATCGACGTGAACGATCATCAGTCCCCGGAGACGGCTATCCTCGTCTCGAAGAACAAACATCGCTGGATCAGTCCGACACTTGCTGAAGCCCAATTCCTGCTCAAGGATCCTCGCCAACTCATTGTACCAAGCCCTAGGAGCGTCAGGTCTACCGTACACAGGTTTCAAAAGCTTCAGCAATTGCCCTGGTTTCAATCCTCTTAGTCCTTGTTTGGGTTGTCTCATGTACATGTCAGGCTTGCCTGTCAAAGGAGCACCCTGCAAGAAAGCATTGGAAATGTCTCCAATCCTTTGTCCAGCCCAAACTTGTAACCAGGTGAAGGAAAACCATAGTGGACACCCTTTCCACCGTAGGGGAATCCACCTGTACCTGACCCGTCCTGCTGTCTGGGCAAAGATGACCTTGCAAACATAACCTGGCCTTCGCCTTGACTGGGAGTGGATTCCCGCTTTCATCAAGAAGCCCAGCATTCTTGTTGCGGAAAACATAGCGACTAGGCAGTGTGCGATCGGGGAGATTTTCTTCGATCGCTTTGCTATCTTCGGGACTTAAGATTTCACAACTGTCATAGTGAAGCCATGATTTCCACTCTTTCTGCTCGGCCTCCTCGTAAAGATGCTTATCTTGAGGGGGAATATCGTTGTAGGGAATCTCCTTCTCAAGCATACGTTTGAGCTTGGTTTTACTTTGGGTCGGTTGATGAACAGCATGCACTGGGGCGCTCTCCGTCATGCGTTTGCGCCTTTTCAAAGAGGCCGGAACATCATCCAAGCAGTGATCCTGTCGAGTCCTGCTTTGAAAGATCGTGATGAGTCCTGCCACGGGTCCTTGAGGAATGAACTGATGTTGGTCCTCAAGTTCAGCCCATCTAACCTCCTGCTCAGCACATTCCCATTTCCCATGCGCATAAACCCACGATGTCCGAAAGGGAAAATGCTCACCCGGGTAACGAGGCTCCGGCGTCCTAAAGGCCCATGCACGATGAGACACCAGAACCGGGCTGCCAACACTGTCAACATGCCAACCTATGTGATG